CATAGAAGTGACAATTAGTCTGTGGACCGGTCCGATTCCGGTCCTCTGGGACAGTGAATGGGAGCAGAAACTGCTGGGTTGTGTGTAACGGTGTGAACATTATGGGATGTTGCAGGAGAGCTGAGCCGGAGCCTCCAGGTGGTCTGGCTGCGAGACTATGCTGTGTTGGTCCACTGGGTGGCGCTTCCTGAGTCGAGCTCACCTCCTCCCTCCTCGACACGCCGCTCAGTCCGTCGCCATGTATGCCACCCGCCTCTACAGCACTGCGGGGGGAGGAGGGGGAGGCGGAGGCGGGCTTAAACAAGGCAGGAGGGCAGGGCTGGCGGTGCTGGAGGGTCCTCAACCTCACCTCCCCCACCATCTTCACCCGCAGCCTCCCCCGACTTACCCTGTCTACCAGGGCCGTCCAGATGCCCACCGTGGACCTCACTTCCACCATCACTACCACCCCCACCACCTGGCTCCACCCCCTCTACCTCCACACTACCAGCACCATGTGCCGGTCCACTCCTACGGGGGAGGAGCAACGGCCGGCGGTGGAGGCAAGAAGAAGACTTGGAACTTCATCCACGAGAAGATGAGTTATGACACTTTTTTCACCATGAAGCGTCTGATCGAACGCTCGCGGCAACCCGATGAGGTTCTGCGCTGGGTCACAGAACCCCGCTAAGATCTCCCACAACCACTACCCTGTTGCCCTGCAGAAGATTGGCCAGCTACTGCAGGCCACACCATTGCAGCGGGTCGCCGGGGATGGCACGGATGGCAAAGCGTCAGAGGCAGATCGGCGGCAGATCCTGGACCAGCCGGATTTCCAGACCCTCTGCAACGCCATCGTGAATGACTGCGCCAAGTTCGACAACTTCAGCATCGTCAACTGCCTGTACGCGGTCGCCTCGCTCGGTAAGGCCTTCACAAAGCTCACAGGCTCCGCCCCTTGACTCTGACTTCACTGAACCTTTGTGCCTTCAGGACTGCCTAGTGACTCCAAGGTGGTGGTGGTCCTGGAAGCAGAATCCCAGTCCAGACTGAACCAGTTCAACCAGAAGGACGTGTCCATGGTGTTCAGCTCCAGCATGCGGCTGCACCCGGGCAGCCAGCACCGCTGACCGAGGCCTGCCTTGCCGGCCTGGAGAAGAACCTGGAGCGGGAGCGCCACCCGCAAACGCTGTTCCTCCTGCTGTCTTACTACCGACTCAAGTGGCGCTCGCTGCAGACGCCAGAGTCGGCTGCAGGGGGTGCAGCTGCTATCAACACACCTCCGAACCCAGAGCAGCTAGTCACCAACAGGTGAGTTAGGTCTGCGACTGATGCCCGGTCAGAGGACCTCTGAGAACTTAACAGCTGATTCGTGTCTTCAGGAAGATCCTGCGACTAGTCAAGCACACTGGCCAGCGTCAGCGGTGTCCGTGACCAGGAGATGGCGCTGTTGGATGAAATGCTGGCGGCCTGTGCTCGAGAGGCCAGTAACAAGAGTCTGGAGCTGATCTTCAGCTCTCACCTGTTCTACCAGAATCGACAGGAGAAGTTTATCAACAGTCTGGCAGGTCGGCTCCCTGAGAACGTCCACCCGTCCATGTGTCCACCTGTCCTGATCTAACCTTGCTTTGACTGTCTCCTGCAGAGGAGCTACCCAAGAAGGTGGACAGCATCACGCCATACACCATGGCCCTAATTGCCAAGTACATCGCCCGACATCGGCTCAGGGAGACCCGGCTTCTCGACACCATTGCCGACTTTCTGATCAGGAAGGCCGAATACCTGGATAGTAAGGTGAGGATGCCTCACTGTTGGGTTGGGAAATGCGGGCGTGCTCTGACCAACATCTGTCTCGTCAGGTAATCCAGAAGCTAGTGTTCCCATTCAGCAGGATGAGTTACCGTCCGTCAGCCGAGCAGCAGTTCTTCTCCCGGCTGGAAGAGGCGGTGGAGCACAAGGCGCTAAGCTCGCCGCTCGCCACTGTCAACATCCTCATGTCCCTGTTCCAGCTTGGCCACTTCCCTGGAACTGTGCTGCACCGAGTCTTTTCCTCTGCCTTCACCAGCAATGTCACAAGTGAGCAAACAGTCAAACCCTTGGTACAGCGTCTTACATGGTACCAGAGAGACAGCCAGTAAAACAGTCCGTTAAAGCGTAGTGGAACCAGTGTAGACGGTCTGAACTGGTAGATCCCTGTGGTAGAACGGTGGTGTGATGCTCTCCCAGTATGACCAGTATCTTCTGCCCTCAGATAGTCCATATGCGCTGATTGTCAGAAGGTACCTGTCTCTTCTGGACGCTGCGGTAGAGTTGGAGTACCGTGACTATGTTGGCCCTCGCCTGCAGGACGCACACAAGGTGATGTTTGACCCATGCCCTCACAGCGGACGAGGTCAACCGAAAGTACAGGTGAGACCTGCACACACCTGGATCAGGACCGGGCCTTTTCAGAGGGTCCGCAACCAACACTTTGGTCTCAGCATGCAAGGTGGGCCAATCAGAGCTGAGCTTTTAGGGCTCATGGCTGGATCAAAAGTCCTTAAAATGCGAGTCAGAAATTTCCTGCACAACCAGAAACAGGCCAGATCTGCTTTTGGGCCCAGATTGGGTTGGTCCGACAGAGTTGAACGAACATCTGTGTTTCTGTACTAAGCTTTTGAGCTTAGTACAGGCTACGCTCAAAAGCTTAGCCTGTTATAAGCTTTTGTACAGGTTTAGTACAGGTTGTACTGCAACAACAGATGTTGGAGATGTGTCAACAGTTACAGCCAGAAGAACTTTCTGGTTCTTTTGGGTCTGACTGGTTCTGTTGGATCTTCCAGCTATAAAGGTCTGGTGGCTGAAGCTCTGCGCCAACTGCTGGGAGAACAGAGCTACAAACAGGATGAGGTGCTGCCCCCTGGATACTACACAGGTACTACACCCAGACCCACATGGAAGCGCAGTACATCACCAGGACCGATTAGGTATTGCAGCGCCCCCACAGGACTGACTAGATAATGCAGCGCCCCCACAGGACTGACTAGGTACTGCAGCGCCCCCACAGGACTGACTAGGTACTGCAGCGCCCCCACAGGACTGACTAGATAATGCAGCGCCCCCACAGGACTGACTAGCTAATGCAGCGCCCCCACAGGACTGACTAGGTACTGCAGCGCCCCCACAGGACTGACTAGGTACTGCAGCGCCCCCACAGGACTGACTAGATAATGCAGCGCCCCCACAGGACTGACTAGATAATGCAGCGCCCCCCCAGGACTGACTAGATAATGCAGCGCCCCCACAGGACTGACTAGCTAATGCAGCGCCCCCACAGGACTGACTAGGTACTGCAGCGCCCCCACAGGACTGACTAGGTACTGCAGCGCCCCCACAGGACTGATACTCTGGTACTTCGCAGTATTACTGCATGTCCATGTTTTTCCTGCAGACTTTGTGCTGTGGTTGGATGGCTCTGGTCGGGTTCTGCCCATCCGGTCTGGACCCTGTGTCCATCCCTCCTGCATCACCGTAACAACCAAGTCAGCTGCAGGGGCCGTTGCCGCGATGACCGCAGAGCTACAGTGCTTCTCTCCGTTTGTGGCACCGGGAGGACGGCGGCGAACCCTCCAGTCCGGCAGCCAACAGAGCAGGCGGGGCCGGAGGACAGGGCTTTCAAGCCACGTCCCCCAGATACCCCCCTGACCATCACCGATGGTGGGCCCCTGGACTACGGCCCCTACTATGCTCCTGCGCGGCGCAGTTCTACCCAGGCCTGGCCAAGGAGCCTTCGGTAGAGAGCCAGGACAGCTCCACCCTCAGCAGCCCCCTTCGGATGGCACCGCCCCGGCCCCCGCCGCCCCGAGGGGCCCTGACTCCCTTTTCCAGTTCTCCATCGGGAAGATCCTGGAGGACGAAGGGGCCGCGGCGGCCTCGGAGGTCCAGGGTGCGCAGATGGCCGGGTTCTACTCTGAGCGGGCTGCCGCCACCAGGTCGGACCCGGATGTCCCGCCCCCAGAGCAACGGCACGTCCGCAGGTCAGTCCCCGTTCAGTAAATCGATTTTGGACCTCAGCAGAACCGGGCTACGGGCTCTGAACCCGACACTTCTCTGTGCAGGGTCATCCTATCCGTGAACGATAAGTGGCACTACTGCCACAACTCTGAGGTTCTGGTCGGGTCCCGCGCCATGAGGGACCGCCACCTGCGACTGCTGGGCTACATCATCCTGCAGGTCAGTCCAACCGTCCACAACCAGAACCAGACTGATCAGAGGAGTTCAGGTCCGCTGTCCTGCAGACGTTTCCCCTGAAAGGTTCTGCACACGTATCGGGTCAGCCGCCTTCAGGACGGCGGACCGAGACCAGGAGCGCCCTCTGTCAGCAGGTCATGTGACCCGCCTCTCGTCTCGTCTCCTCTCAGCTTCCGTACCACGAGCTGGAGAAGCTGAACGGCATCGAGGAGGTGAAGCAGTACCTGCACCAGAAGCTGCTGGACGTCCCGCTATGACTGCGTCTGTGTGTGTGTGTGTGTGTGTGAAAGGGGGCGGGGCCAGCACTTACCTGTCACTGCAACCGGAGGGGGAAGCTCATCCCTGAGTGGTTAATAAACTCCCATCAGGCCGTGCGGCAGGCTGCAGGTGCGCTGGTGGTGTGACTGGTGTTTTTTTTGTGGGTGGGGGTTTTCTAGAGTAATGTAACCATGGTAACCGTGATGCATGAGGGAGGTTTTAAAGCATGTGCCAAAGGTTGGAGGGAAGGTGTGGTTCCTGGGGTGAAAGGGTCAGATTTATTTGTGTATCAGGAGAAGGACAGAAGTTGGTTTATATTCTATCAACTGAAATGTGTATAAAAGCTGAACAGAGCTGAGTTGGGTCTTTATTTCCACCCGGGTCATGTGATCCAAGCCACGCCTCCAACCAGTGGAGCAGAACCTGGAGCCATTTCCTCTGAGCGATCTGGGTCAGGTCCATAGAACCCGTACGGGATCAGCCAGAACAGGACCCGTTCAGTCAGTAACCGGTGGTAGTGATGAAACCAGGCGGTTTGGAAAAAGTGCATTTATTGAGTTTCTCTCGGCCTCCGGCTGATTGGAGGTCCAACACTGACTCCGCCCCCTGCATGTCGTCATGTACAAACCCCGCCCACCCAAAAGAACAAACAGGAAGCTGTCATCCTGAAATGTCTGTCAGATAAAAACCAAGTAAATATAAACTCAAATGCTTGTAACAGGCTCCGCCCACTTCTGACGGCGCTGCCTCGCATTGGTCTGCCCGGATGACTGGCAGAGGAGGAGGCGTGGCCTGCACAGCCTGTCCTCTTCAATGAGTGGGCAGGACTAATCTGAGTCCAACTCGCTGGATTCCTCCGAGGAAGATTGATCGTCATCCTCCTCTTCATCGTCATCGTTCTGAGGACGCAAACAGGAAGTGGTTAGAAAGGTCCCGTGGTAACTGAACAAGCAGCAGGGACAGCATCCTGCCTCAGGGGCGGAGCTACAGCTGACACTTGTCCAGCTCTTTACTTTAACTAGGACAGCTTCGCGGCAAGTTCCGTCACCGTGACAACCAAAGGAGCCTGAAACTACAGCAGACCGCCCCCCCTCACCTCATCTTCATCCTCGCTGTCTGAACTTCCTGATGTCTCATCGTCTTCATCAGAATCTGAGGAACCGCTCTTCTCCTCCTCCTCATCAGAGTCGGACATGTCCTGCTGAGAGTCCCACCAACATGGCGGTCAGAGCCTTTCGGCCCTTGGGCCCGGAGATTCTGATGGTTTCCAGCCTGCGGGGCGTGATCCTACCTTAGCACGGTATGCCATGGCCCGCTTCCCCACGGCGACCCCTGGGGTCACGGCTCGGGCTCCGCCCACCTTTCCCTTCGCCGTCACCCGGACTTTGGCCACGGGGCTGGTGGTTGCTTTGGAGGAGCTGCTGCGGCGTTTCTGCCAATCAGAGACGGGCTGAGTGTCAGGTGACCTGCAGGGCGGAACGGGGGGGTGCGGTGTGTGGCGGACTCACCGAGGAGGAGAACTCCTTGTACACGGCGCGATCCTGCGGGGACAGCGACTGCAAAGGACAGGAGAAGTGAATGGGGGCGGTGAGCTACCTGAGGGCTGGGGGCGGGGCTTACCTTGACCCAGGCCTCCAGGTGGGCCTTGTACTCCACCTGCTGCTCCTCCACCTGCTTCTTGTACTTGTCCTTCTGCGCCTGGCTGAGCTTCTGCCAGCGCTTGCCGATCTCCACCATGCGCTCCTTCAGGCTGAAGTGGTTCAGCTCTCCGTTCGTCAGCAGCTCCTGGGAGAACATCTGGTAGCCGCTCCTAGGGTCAGAGGTCGCACTCAGCGGGGACTGGACGGTAATGGGAACCGGGCCGGTTATCTGCCAGCTCTAGTACCGGGCCGGTTCCGGCCCCGGATAAGAACCAGAACCTGCGACGGCGGTCCCAAACTCACACTGGAGGCTTCTTCGGCTCCCCGTCGAACTTGGGCTTCCTCTGGCCGACAGGGGGCGCTCTCATCTCCAACAGCTCCCTCTAGAGGACAGCAGCAGTTAGCACACACAGCAGCCAATCAGGACGCAGGGGTCGGAGGGTACCGAACCTCGTAACGTTTCTGGTCCTCTGCTGCTTTCTTGATCCAGGGAATTTTCTCCTTTTTCTCCATGGAGCGCCAAGCCACCTCCATCGCCGCCTGTGCCTTCCTGCGGTCACTCTGCAGGGGTCAGAGGTCAGCACAGAGGTCAAGAAATCTCTCATCATGCTGAGCTGCTGCCCCCTCCCAGGCCCACGCCCTCTGACCCGGTACTTGGCCAGGTAATCTCCTGTCACGCTGTGCTGCCACGTCTCCTCTGCAGTTTTCGGCGTGTCTGGAAGCTTCGCTGCCTTCCTGGCGTCCCGCCGCTCTCTGGGCGCTGTGGCTCCGCCCCCGGCTGCTGGCCACACCTCTGGCTCCGCCTCCCGGCCGCGCTCCTGTAGCAAGACAGAAGGTATGCTCAGTCAGGGCCTCCGGTTCTGGTTCTGGTTCTGATTGTACCTTGACCGATGGAGACTTGGCTCTGAGAGGGCTGGGAGCCACGCCCACATTCATCTTGGCTCCGCCCATTTTCTCCTCCGTCAGGACTCTGTCCCGCTCCTCCTCAGGAAGGCTCTGCAACACAGCGACACCTCGTTGGCCTCTGGCCTGGACTGACCTCTGACCTCTCTATGTGAATGCTACCTGCACATATGTGACCTCTGACCTCTACCTTGAATTTATCTCATTTGTTCCTATTGTCATGGCAACACACAATGCTAGATGTACTGATGACTTCATGACCTTTAGCCTTTCCACTAGCATCTGTGGAAAGGCTAAAATACTAGCTACTTCTGTTGCCATGACGATCTATTTGCAGCCTGGTTCTGGTCCAATGTGACCCGCTCACAGAGACCAGAACCCGGCCTGGTCAGGGGGCGGAGCCTCACCTCCAGGAAGCGCTGCAGGTCCACGTCATACTGCTTCTTTTTCTGCAGACAGGAAGTGGTGTTAGAGGTGTAGGGAGCCGGGTCGGTACCGATCGGGTCGGGTCGGTACCGACCTGCTCGCAGCGCTTCTGGAACATGTCCTTCTCCTTCTGGGTCAGCATCTTCCACTGCTTGCTGCACAGCACCATGCGCTCGGTGCTCGGCACGTCCTTCATGTTCACCATCAGCTCAGCGCAGTACAGGGAGTAGCCGTTCCTGCAGGGGTCAGGGGTCACTGGGGGTTAGCCGACCCAAATGTTGGACCGCATCGCATTCGCCATCAAATGATTAGTTGATCCAGGACCAGTTGAACACATTGTCTAAATATGTCATAATTTTTCTACGAACTAAAAAAATGCTGTTTTTGATTAGCAAAAACTCATAATCGCTTCAAAACTGCACATCTTATGTTGTATGTTTCATCCATGGAGGCCGCCATTTTTTCACCAATGAGTTGATGATGTCATCAGGTCCATTCTGTACTGGAGTCTACAGAGTAAACACGGGAAGGCTGACTTTAGTTTAGTAGTTGATCATATTGAGTTTGACTAAAAATAAAATCTGAGGCGAATCTGGATAATTTCCCACATGAGAGAGGAGAGGAAGACAACCTGGGACCTAATCTGGACCTGGACCTTTCTCCACAACACTTTGAGCCATTTATACCAGCAGAACCAACGAAGCTCTAGCAGCTGAAATGCTAACGGAGCTAATATTACCGGAAATGCTAACGGAGCTAATATTACTGGAAATGCTAACGGAGCTAATATTACTGGAAATGCTAACGGAGCTAATATTACTGGAAATGCTAACGGAGCTAATATTACCGGAAATGCTAACGGAGCTAATATTACCGGAAATGCTAACGGAGCTAATATTACTGGAAATGCTAACGGAGCTAATATTACTGGAAATGCTAACGGAGCTAATATTACCGGAAATGCTAACGGAGCTAATATTACCGGAAATGCTAACGGAGCTAATATTACCGGAAATGCTAACGGAGCTAATATTACTGGAAATGCTAACGGAGCTAATATTACTGGAAATGCTAACGGAGCTAATATTACTGGAAATGCTAACGGAGCTAATATTACTGGAAATGCTAACGGAGCTAATATTACTGGAAATGCTAACGGAGCTAATATTACTGGAAATGCTAACGGAGCTAATATTACTGGAAATGCTAACGGAGCTAATATTACTGGAAATGCTAACGGAGCTAATGTTACTGGAAATGCTAACGGAGCTAATATTACTGGAAATGCTAACGGAGCTATTACCACCGGTACTGAATGTAAAACCACCACCAGTAACAGCCGTAGCCGAACCGGACTCAGAGCTCCAGAACCAGGTACCGGACCGGCAGGGACCGGAAGTGAGTCTCATTCATTGTTTCATTATGAAGCTGAAGGCAGCTCTTCATCTTCCTCTGTTTGCTCCTCCTCCTCATCATCACCTGTTATTTCTGGTTCTGATCGGTTTCAAGGCTCCGGTCCAAATTAAAAAGCCTGAATAATGTTATTCACCACTGAAGGAGCCAGTCATTTACCCAGAATGCATTGCAGCGTGAACAACATGGCGACATTCCTGTGAAAACATTTTATTGAAATGAATAAAAACTAAATAACCCGCAGTGTTATTACTGTGTTGGTTTTCCATCTGAGATCAGTATTTCCCAGACAAGGCCTATTTATCCTGGATCTCGTTCATCACGGCCCATAAAGCTGCTCATACCGACCTGGAATGTTTTATGACGCGAAACGTTAAAACACCAAGACATAAATCATCTCTGAACATTTCTGGTTCCAGAAAAGAACTGCCATTACAGACATCAGGTTCTGGTTCTGCTGTTACTGGGCAGCCTTTTCTCGCCACCGACGCTACCAGGAGTGATGCTGCGGGCCAGCGACTGGATGCGCTGCTGGTTCTTGAATTGTTCGAACTGGGACCAGTTGACTGAACATTAGCTCAGGGTGCTGGGAGCCGCCGGGCTGAACCGATTGAGCTGAACTGGGTAATGTCACTGGGACCAGTTACACCACCACAATCTCCAGTGTTTCGGGGTTCACCTGAACTTTTCCAGATTTCCATTTTATCAGAGCTACATCTCTCTTTCTCTGACAAATCTTGCCTAAGTTAGCCTTGCATAGAGTAGTCTAACTTAGGTTAACCTAGTCCAACTTAGACTACCCTACCAGCCCTGATTGCAGGACATGTCCATGACCAGTTGGATTTCCGCCAATCAGAGCAGAGTTCCTGCCTTTCTCTGTCTCTGATTGGTTTAGACCACAATCTGGGCCTTATCGTTCAGGCTGCTACTGGGCGCACTGGGTTGACACAGCGCTACAGACGGTGGAAGAAATTTTACCCAATTGGTACCATGTACGAGTAGGGTGGTGGTCCTACTGGTTATACTGGTGGTAGTGGTGGACTCACGGCGGCGGCTTGGTGGGCCGTCCATCGAACTTGTCCTTTAGCTGTCTCTCAGCCTTGGTGAGGACAGAGCGGACGTGTTCCTCTGAGTTGGAGTCTGGGTGGGCCTCGTGGTACACCCTCATGCTGCCCTGCAACACAGAGACTGGCAGGTCAGAACCAAGGCGGTGGGTCGGCCCAGAACCAGAGCCAGAACCTCACCTCATAGTCCTTCTGCAGCTCCAGCGCCTTGCTGATCCACTTTAGCCTGCGCTTGTCGGACAGCTGGGACCACTGCCTCCTCAGCGCCTCCTTCAGCTCCTTCTGACTCACCTGAGGACACACGGTTCCGGTCAGAGGATGATGCCACTGACCGGGCCGGCGGGCGGAACCGGGCCAGTACCTCTGGGTGCAGCTTCATGTAGGCCTTCTTCTCGTGGTTGTACCACAGCTGCTGGGGCGTCTTGGGTTTCTCCGGCAGGTCCGACTTCTTCCGCTCCTCCATCAGGTCCGGATGCTCCTCCCTGCGGGACACCGTGCATTATGACAGGAGTGGAATCACTGGACCGGAATCATGGACCTGGAACCACAGGACTGGAACTGAAACCACTGGATGGAACTCACCTGAACCGGGCCATGTTCTTCTCAAACTCCTCCTTCTCCGCTGGAACTCTGTGATGTACTTTTGCTGAAACAAAGCAGAGACATGGGGACCATGTGAGCAGGTTCTGGTTCTGGTTCTGCTTCTTGGTTCCCGGTTCTGGTCTTCACCTTCTTCTTATCTGGGAGCTCCTTGTACTTCTTGGACAGGATCTTGGTGAGGTCCAGGTTGCTCATCTCCGGATGGATCTTGGCGTATTTGGCCCGTTTCTCCATGAAGAAGCGGAAGTAGGGAGTCAGCGGCTTCTTGGGGAAGTCTGGGTGGGTCTGCACAGAGACATCGGGTCAGAACTGGTCCGATTCTGCTGCTCAGTCCGGTTCTGGACCCGCACCACTCACCTTCAGCTTCTTGCCTTTGTAGGGGTTCTTGACAAACTCAATGGCGTCCACAATGAGCTCCGTCATGGTCCGATACTTCCGGACCTGAAAACAGAACCAGAATGAAAGGTGATGGTCCAGAACCTATCCATTACCCCCAGGTCCACTGGCGGCGGGTCGTACCTCGGAGGAGACCTTCTGCCACTTCTGGCGACACATGTCCCCGGAGAAGCGGCCGAAGCCGACTTTGTCCCAGTCAAAGTGCGACTCGGTGGTTTTGTACTTCATGGCGTCTCCGTCGGGCAGCAGACGCGGATCCGCTCAAGCAGCGTCAGGCAGTCCTCCTGGCTCCACGCGTGTGGACGGACAGCCGTCATCGTCATGATGCTGCCACCACCGGGCCGGGCCGACACACACACCTACCTGCTTCAGCCTTGATCCTCTCTGAGCCGCAGAGATGCTGCTGCCGTTCATCCTGCCAGAGGCTCCGCCCCTCGCCGCTCTGCAATCACACACACACACCTGTCCTTCATCTGAGACACACACACACACCTGTCCTTCATCTGAGACACACACACACACCTGTCCTTCATCTGAGACACACACACACACCTGTCCTTCATCTGAGACACACACCTGTCCTTCATTTGAGACACACACCTGTCCTTCATTTGAGACACACACCTGTCCTTCATTTGAGACACACACCTGTCCTTCATTTGAGACAAACACACACATACCTGTCCTTCAGGTTGAACATGTTTTTCTGCCAGAATCATGATTTGAATTTGTTTTAGTTCACTGAACAAAATCTTTCAGAACAAATAACTGACACTTTTAGATGAGCAGAGTTTCACGAAGAACCCTCCAGAACCTCCCTTTGGGTCGGGGCAGGCCTGGTGGAGGAGGTGGTGCAGCGGCTGGCCGGCAGGGGGCAGGACCGAGCAGCAGCGCTCTGGGCTGATGCAGCAGCAGCTGGACGCTCCACTCCGTGTCGCTCTGAACCGGACCGGCTCTGGTTCTGTTTAGGATAAACCATGCGGGTTTTCTGTTGAACCGGGACCTGCTGTGCTGACGGGTGCGGGTCTCCACCGAGCTCTGGGGGCCAACAAGGGCCGCCCTTCAGGAGCCCGCCCGGGGCCCCGCGGACTGAGCGGGCCGCCTGGCTGCAGCTGCCCCGGTAATGGCGTCCCTCCTCCTGCAGGAGTCAGCACGTAGCTGTCGCTGGAAGGCGCACGGGAGTCTGTCTAAATTAGGAGTAAAAGCGGCCAAACTGCGGAGATTAAACCGTTTCTGCGGTTTAATCTCCACAGAACCGCCGGTTCCGACATGTGCAGCCGATAATCCTCTTGCAGCAGAAACCAGCAGAAACGGTCTGAAATGACCTGGAATGCTGTTGAAAGGTTCTGGAAACGCACCATCTGCGGTTCCCCCGGCCGAAACGACCCGATTCCTGGAGCCAGGAGCTGCTTTCGGGTCGCAGCGGGAAGGATCGACGTCGCTTCCCCAGAAAGCCTCACTGCGAAGCCGCCATGAATGTTCCGTGGACTCGGGGACAACCGAGCAGAAAAACCGAGAAATTCGTTTAAAATACGAAACCTTCGCTTACCTGATGGTTCTGTTGGATTCCCGGATGGTTCCCGAACAGAACCGTGCCGGTTCGGCTGGTTCTGAGCCTTTCTTAGAGTCTGTTTTTTGCCCGTAAACCCCGGGGAGTCAGTTCGAAACGAATCCGACAAAAGGAGCGTCTCGCTCGGTGTGAAACTCCGCCCCGCGCCGCAGGGGGAGGACCTCCGGGGGAAAACATGAGACAAAGGCGGAGGATGAAACCAGAGCCGCGGACAGAGCTGCAGCCAGCCCCGCTGCTGGCATAACACAGCTTCAAACTCTCTCTGGTTCGGTTCTGGTCCCGGTCCAGATTATGTGCCACGAGGGCCCGCGGACCGGACGGGGACAGGCCGACGGATCCGGGGAACAGAGCCTCCCTGCGGCTCGGGCCGGAGCGGATCCCCGGCCCAGAGGCAGAGAGGAAGGCGGCCGCCGAGAGGACAGCAGGCCGGGGCCACACTGCTCAGAACCTCCTGGTGGTTCTGGACCCAGACGGTGGAAGTCCACCAGGAACCAGGACCAGGTTCTGGTTCCATGGCGGGTCCGCATGGTGAACCTGCGGTTCTAAGACTTTCTGCTCCTGAACAACACAAATAGAACCGGAACTTTAGAGTCCGAACCGGGTCACTGAGTGATGATGACGATGATGATGATCATCATCATCATCATCCAGACATCTTCTCAATCTTCTGCAGCTTTTGCGACCCATAATGCACCGGGGTGAACGAACTGTGTTGTGCAGCTGTAGCAAAGCGGTTTGGTCTCTAATCACTGAACCCATTAATAAACCCGAACCTCTGCTGGTCCCTGTTTATTTCTACCTGTGATGAACTCTGACCTCGTGAGGCTCCAGCTCGCTGCTGCCCCCTGTTGCTCCGGCTGATTACATTAAAGCTTTTTCTCCATTAATGACAAACAGACTTGTTGACTTGTCTATGACTTGGTGAGGTACAAACAGTCCAATGAAGGCAGGAAAAAAGAACAAAACGACAAGAACAGAACAGGAAGGCAAATTATAAAAATAGTGCAGGATTTTAAACAAAAGAAAACCAGAGATCATTCATGATGGAGCCTCTGCAGCTGTACACCAGAACCGGGCCTCAGAACCGTTCTAGCGGTTCATCATAATGGTCAGACCGGAGCCATAATGGTCAAACTGCGGAGTTTAACGTCTTCATAAAAAGCAATAAATACAGTGACGAGGCTGTCAGGTGAATCAGAGGCTGTTGTTGCAGGCAGTGACCAGCAGGGGGCGAAGAGTCGCCTGCGGTCTGTCTGAACAACAGCAGCAGAAGAAGCGGCAGCAGCGCAGATTAGCCTGTTAGCTTGGAGGCTAAATTCGCTGCTATGAAGCTTCTTTTGTGAGACGGTGAGTTCTGGTTCCCTCTGGTCCGAACTTGGGTCGGACCGGTCCGGAACTACTTCCGGTGCCGTTGTTGCCCGTTAGCTCCGGCTTTAGCCAACTGCTCAGGTGTGCTCAGGTAAGAGCAGGTCAGAACTCTGCGGGTTCGGTCCGAGTCTCCCAGCTGGCCAGCTAGCGGTCCAAACAGCACATCACCGGAAAAAGAGTCCGAACCGGGAGCTTTACACCGACCAGAACCAGCCACACATGAATAAGGTCCGGAACCCGGAGACGTCCTGAAGCTGAGGAACAGGTTCGGTCCGGTCCGGTCCGGTCAGCAGAACTCTAGCGGAGGTTCGGAACAGCCTGGACACAGAAAAGGTTGGTGTTCTGGATCAGCAGAACCTCTCCTGGTTCCGGTTCGGTTCTGATCGAAGCTTTTTGGGACTTTCATGTTTTGATTCTGCTTAATTGGTGGAAAACTAATTATCTGCATTTCCAGTTTGTCTAATTTCTACTTTAAGTTGATTAGAAAACATGAACCTGCAAATATGAGAAAACATCAATATTGTAAACTTGGATATTTAACAACAAATGTAAAGTTTTATCAGTTTCTATCATTTCCATTGATCTTAGTTTGGACTCAATAATTTAATCTGTCAGACAAGAAGGACAAGCAAGACATTGGACATTAATGTCCATTAAAAATACACAGAATATTTTCTGCTGCATCTGTATTTATACATTTGCTGCTTTAATAAACAGTTTGAGGCCAACATGTTCTCCTGAAAAGCTGTTTGTTACTTTTAATTGTTACTATATCTGTATTTTAGTGCAGGTTGTAGCAAATAACCACTTTAACCTGAGTGACCAAAGTTATGGGATGTGTAAACATTGATGAACGATTCATCTAACGTTTCGTCTCTTCTGCTGAACAATTCATTGTTTTCTGCACTTTTATCATGTTTTGATTGAATTAAAAAATAATTGACTGTTTAATTTTAAGGTCAGAAACGAGCAGCGATTTATTGTTCTCTCCCGCTGCATGTTTTATGTCTGTGGACCGCCTGTGTGAAATGTCCCAGTCCGTAAATCAAACGCACAAAAACTCAAGACTTTGGCTGTAAGTTAATAATCAGTTGTTTTCGGGGTGTGATGTGTTTTAATTGAGCAAAAAAACATCAGACATCCACTAGATTTTCTCCGTTTGCTTCTGACTGGGACATTTTGTGATCAGCAGACGCGTTAATCATGGCGGAGAGCGGAGTGAGGCCTGCTGACAAAAACGAGGAGCTCCAGGAGCAGAGAGATCAGAAACTATTTGAAATGAAAAATAATAGACATTTAGAAACAGATTAAGATTTAGGCACCTGCTGCGAGAAGATCTATCCTGACAAACTGCAGCTGTATCGCTCCTTTGCAGATATGCACTGTACCGATACACACTGTACCGATACGGCCTGTACCGATACACACTGTATCGATACACACTGTACCGATACACACTGTATCGATACACACTGTACCGATACGGCCTGTACCGATACACACTGTACCGATACACACTGTACCGATACACACTGTACCGATACACACTGTACCGATACACACTGTACCGATACACACTGTACCGATACACACTGTACCGATACACACTGTACCGATACGGCCTGTACCGATACACACTGTATCGATACACACTGTACCGATACACACTGTACCGATACACACTGTACCGATACACACTGTATCGATACACACTGTATCGATACACACTGTACCGATACACCCTGTACCGATACACACTGTATCGATACACACTGTACCGATACACACTGTACCGATACACACTGTACCGATACACACTGTACCGATACACACTGTACCGATACGGCCTGTACCGATACACACTGTACCGATACACACTGTACCGATACGGCCTGTACCGATACACACTGTATCGATACGGGTGTATCAGTACGCACTGTAGCCGTATCGGTACCGTTTTACTCTCACCCCAGGTTCTGACTCAGAACATTCCTGATTTCTCTGGAGGTCTGACCTGCTCCTGGTTCTGTTGAATCCGGTTCTAATGATCGTAACGTGCTTCAGTCGCCATGGTGATGGAACCAGAGGTTCCATCACCATACATACAGGCACTGTATGCACTGTATGCACAAATGCATAGAGGCACTGTATGCACAAATGCATAGAGGCACTGTATGCACTGTATGCACAAATGCATAGAGGCACTGTATGCACGAACGCATAGAGGCACTGTATGCACAAATGCATACAGTGCCTGTATGCACTGTATGCATACAGGCACTGTATGCATACAGGCACTGTATGCATACAGTGCCTGTATGCACTGTATGCATACAGGCACTGTATGCGTTTGTGCATACAGGCACTGTATGCACAAACGCATAGAGGCACTGTATGCACTGTATGCACGAACGCATACAGGCACTGTATGCATACAGGCACTGTATGCACAAACGCATAGAGGCACTGTATGCACTGTATGCGTTTGTGCATACAGTGCCTTTATGCACAAACGCATACAGGCACCGTGCCTGTATGCATACAGTGCATACAGTGCATACAGAGCCTGTATGCACTGTATGCACAAATGCATACAGGCACTGTATGCACTGTATGCACAAATGCATAGAGGCACTGTATGCACTGTATGCACAAATGCATAGAGGCACTGTATGCACGAACGCATAGAGGCACTGTATGCACAAATGCATACAGTGCCTGTATGCACTGTATGCATACAGGCACTGTATGCATACAGGCACTGTATGCATACAGTGCCTGTATGCACTGTATGCATACAGGCACTGTATGCGTTTGTGCATACAGGCACTGTATGCACAAACGCATAGAGGCACTGTATGCACTGTATGCACGAACGCATACAGGCACTGTATGCATACAGGCACTGTATGCACAAACGCATAGAGGCACTGTATGCACTGTATGCGTTTGTGCATACAGTGCCTTTATGCACAAACGCATACAGGCACCGTGCCTGTATGCATACAGTGCATACAGTGCATACAGAGCCTGTATGCACTGTATGCACAAATGCATACAGGCACTGTATGCACTGTATGCACAAATGCATAGAGGCACTGTATGCACTGTATGCACAAATGCATAGAGGCACTGTATGCACGAACGCATAGAGGCACTGTATGCACAAATGCATACAGTGCCTGTATGCACTGTATGCATACAGGCACTGTATGCGTTTGTGCATACAGTGCCTGTATGCATACAGTGCATACAGGCACTGTATGCACTGTATGCATACAGGCACTGTATGCATACAGTGCATACAGGCACTGTATGCACTGTATGCATACAGGCACTGTATGCATACAGTGCCTGTATGCACTGTATGCATACAGGCACTGTATGCGTTTGTGCATACAGGCACTGTATGCACAAACGCATAGAGGCACTGTATGCACTGTATGCATACAGTGCCTGTATGCATACAGTGCATACAGGCACTGTATGCACTGTATGCATACAGGCACTGTATGCATACAGTGCCTGTATGCACTGTATGCATACAGGCACTGTATGCGTTTGTGCATACAGGCACTGTATGCACAAACGCATAGAGGCACTGTATGCACTGTATGCACGAACGCATACAGGCACTGTATGCATACAGGCACTGTATGCACAAACGCATAGAGGCACTGTATGCACTGTATGCGTTTGTGCATACAGTGCCTTTATGCACAAACGCATACAGGCACCGTGCCTGTATGCATACAGTGCATACAGTGCATACAGAGCCTGTATGCACTGTATGCACAAATGCATACAGGCACTGTATGCACTGTATGCACAAATGCATAGAGGCACTGTATGCACTGTATGCACAAATGCATAGAGGCACTGTATGCACGAACGCATAGAGGCACTGTATGCACAAATGCATACAGTGCCTGTATGCACTGTATGCATACAGGCACTGTATGCGTTTGTGCATACAGGCACTGTATGCACAAACGCATAGAGGCACTGTATGCACTGTATGCACGAACGCATACAGGCACTGTATGCATACAGGCACTGTATGCACAAACGCATAGAGGCACTGTATGCATACAGGCACTGTATGCACTGTATGCGTTTGTGCATACAGTGCCTTTATGCACAAACGCATACAGGCACCGTGCCTGTATGCATACAGTGCATACAGTGCATACAGAGCCTGTATGCACTGTATGCACAAATGCATACAGTGCATACAGAGCCTGTATGCACTGTATGCACAAATGCATACAGGCACTGTATGCACTGTATGCACAAACGCATACAGTGCCTGTATGTGTTTGTGCTGCTCACCTGAGCCGTCCCTTGTTCAGGTGCGCTGCCGGCGATGGCTGTGATCGAAGGCGTGGGGGACGAGGTGACGCTGCTGTTCGGCTCGCTGCTGCTGCTGATGGTGCTGCTGCTCGCCTGGGTCTCCACCCGCACCCGCGAGCCCCTGGAGCAGCTGTTCCCGGGCCACGCCCTCTCCCCACAGGACACGCCCCTCTCCTCCACCGCCTCTGTGGGTGATGGTGCTCCGTCCGAGGCCCCGCCTACTGGCCCCTCCCTCCAGGAGGAGGCGGAGCGCGAGGCGGGAGACGGGGCGAGGCGGCGGGGAGCAGAGCGGAGCATGGTGCTCCGCCTGAAGTTCCTCAACGACACGGAGAGAACGGCCCAGGTCCAACCGCACGACACCATTGGCTACATCAAACGGTACGGACCGAGCACCAATCAGAGCAAGAGGGTCTTAGTGTTGCCAATCATCCTCTAAGTGGCGCTGCCACCTCCCCCCCCCCGCTTCCCTACAGCTTTTTCCTGATAACACACGTGATGGTGGATAAACAAGTTGTTTCTCTGCCTATGGCATATTTAGCAGCTAGTACATCAGGATGATTGACACCACTAAGCTCCAGGTCCTGGCTCTGGTTGGTTGTTTTTTGTGCATTTCGTCAGACGGCGTCAGTTAACAGTCTTGAGCAGCATTTACTCCACATGTCAGACAACAAAGAGTTTTGGATTCTCTGCTCTTCATCTTTGTTATAGAATTAATTTTGGTAAATGTTTCATGTTTGGGAAGCTGTCCAGGACGGCGGCCATCTTAGTTGTGTTGCATTTCATACAGAGTCATGTTATAACAAATCAGTGACTCTAGTGCTGGACTTTATTACCGTCTTTACTCAAGCGTGATTGAAAAACAAACCTCCGGCCACTAGGTGGCAGCAGTGTTCAAACTAATCAAGCCAGTAGAAGCAGCTGATTAATTCAGGATTGGATGTTTGGCCCAGTCAAAGTCCTTCCTACTCATTCCTCCTTCCTGTCCTTCAGATGTGTGTACATGCTGGAGGGTTTCAGTGCGAATGGCGTCCCGATTCGCTGCTTCATGCTTTAGCCCCGCCCCTTTCTGGTCCTATTTCTGTACTTATGCTAAACCCGCATCCAGGCAAGTTCACCTGGCTGCAGCTAACAGGAAGGGCGACGAACCGCTGTCACGCTCAGACCTTATATGGAAATGGGACCATTGCAGTCCGTGAAGGGGGCGCTGTTTCCTATGTCACCCTCCCGTTTTTCTTTATAAATCTGTGATATACTTTCACCTTTTGGAAGGATTTTCACTCTCAGCTTCTGTTTGAGCTTCTCTCTATCATTCGATGCAGCTCACAGTTTAACACATTCTGTAGCTTTCGGTGAATTTCTAAATCTGCTCCTCAGTCGCATCTTTTTGGCCTGCTGCTGCCTCTGGTGGTGTGGGGTGGTAACAACTAATATAATTACACGACCAAGATGTGGAGGTGAAAAGTTCAAACCCAACATCGTCTCGTACACAAACTCTAGTGAAGTCAGAGAAACATGGCGTCTCTGAGGACAGATCAGAAACATAGAGCTGAGCTGATTGTCCAGGAATGAACCAAAATATTTCACATTTGCCAAAGTTTCAACAGGTTGGCCATCAGGAGAAACTGGGACCACTTTACTTTCAGGTTTTGTTTAGGTCATTTAGTTAGCTCCACCGCTTTATGAAAATGAAACATTGTGGTGTTTTATAGGAGAAGTTATTTTATATAGTGTCAATAATGCCATAATTACTAATAATTTGAATGGTTTAGTCCCATTTCCAAATCAGGAATTGGTCGGCATGTCTCCGCCCTTCCTGTTGCTGCATTCAGGAGGACTTTGGCGAAGCGTATTACCACAATTTGTATTATTTTATTGAACACACAAAAATTACGCCAACATGCTCACATCAGCAAGTCAATCAGAAACATTTCAGAAAAACATCTCATCTCCTGTGTTAACCTTTCCTGCTGAACCTCTGAACGTCGTGGGGAAACAGGAAGCTGCTTCTCGCTCTGAGGCTCAAGTGGTTGGAGGTTCGATTCCCTTTGTGGTTGGGCAAGGAGGCAGTCGCAGGTTCACATTAGCTGCACATTTATTCCTCGGTGTTACAACTTACTCTAATAAAGCTCTGTGACCTGTTTGATTTATATTGAATTTTGCTCCATATTCAACAGGTCATAACAAAACACATTAAAACAGCCAATATCTCCAGCAACGACTTTGGAAAGCAAAAATATTACTGTACATTTGTAATGTTTTTTAGCAGTAAAGGTCTAAACCAGTCGGCCATCTTGGATGTTGACATTTTGACACAGACGTTGTGTCCAGTTTGCTGTTTGTAACCAAAACATCCTGATCACCTCTAGTGACGGGGATTAGGACCAGGCCCTAGAAATGTATTTGCTGTCAAAGGAAAGTTTGACAGGAAAAATGTCAGCAGATGTCAGTAAAGCAAGTTTTATGCCAGGCTGAGATTTCTTGTCAAATACAAGGAAAGTTCCACAAGCATAGTTATAGTGACAGATTAAAGATGCTGGAAGAAAGTTGTTAAATCCTCTAAATAGTCAAATGACTTCATTAATAGTAAATTAGAGTAAAAAAGCTTGAATAGTGATCTGACCTGCTCAGCTCAGCACGTCTGGTTCTTTCTTTGAAATGAATCGTTTAAAGTCGTTCAGCTGATTATTTCTGTCTGACGTGTTGAAAGATTCAGTATTTTGTCTCTTTTGATGGTGACGTGTCCTAAAATCATGACTTTATTTTCTACAGTTTTCCTCGTACTGAAACACAAGCTGAGCTCCGACTGGCCAGGAAATAAAACTCCTCGTCTTTTCTGACGAGCTGGAACGTGAACCCTGCTGCTGCAAATGAAAAACAAAAAGCTTTTCTTCAGTCGGAGCAGCTGAAACATCATCACACATTATTAAATATCACATCTGTATCAGTATTTCAATGAGGAAGTGACCTGCTGCCGTTTCCTGGATACACAAAGCTGGTGACAAGCCAAGAGGTCTCACTCTGTGCGGTTCTGACCCAGTTCTGCTTCCTCTGTCCCTCCAGAACCTACTTTGCGGGTCAGGAGCAGCAGGTGCGTCTCATCTACCAGGGCCAGCTGCTGCAGGACGACGCCCAGACGCTGGCCTCGCTCAACCTGGCCCATAACTGCGTCCTGCACTGCCACATCTCCCAGAGCGCGCCGCCCGGGGCGGCGGGGGTCCCCCGGCCCGCCGACCAGGTCCAGGTGGCGCTGAACGTCGGCAGCCTGATGGTCCCGCTGCTGGTTCTGATGCTGTCCGTGCTGTGGTACTGTCAGATCCAGTACCGGCAGTTCTTCACGGCGCCGGCCACCGCCTCGCTGGTCGGCATCACCATCTTCCTCAGCCTGGTGGCCTTCGGCGTCTACCGCCGCTAGCTGCTCTCTGATTGGCCCGCTGCCGTGGGCCTGCACATTCTGTTGCCATGGAGACGTGGAGCACGACAAGGACTCTGATCTTTATTTTTTTAGCCGACGTTTCTCTGTAACTTCTCATCACTGTGCCTCAGTTCCTCCTGTCCGCTCTAATCCAGAATAAATCACTAATTTATCCCGCTGAGTCCGACTCTGAATGCCGACCCGGTTCTACTGGTTCCATTGAATCCACTGGTTCTATTGGATCCACTGGTTCTATTGGTTCTACTGGTTCCATTGGTTCTACTGGTTCTATTGGATCCACTGGTTCTATTGGTTCTACTGGTTCCATTGAATCCACTGGTTCTATTGGATCCACTGGTTCTATTGGATCCACTGGTTCCATTGAATCCACTGGTTCTATTGGATCCACTGGTTCTATTGGATCCACTGGTTCTATTGGATCCACTGGTTCCATTGGATCCACTGGTTCTATTGGTTCTACTGGTTCCATTGAATCCACTGGTTCTATTGGATCCACTGGTTCTATTGGATCCACTGGTTCTATTGGTTCCACTGGTTCTATTGGATCCACTGGTTCTATTGGTTCCATTGAATCCACTGGTTCTATTGGATCCACTGGTTCCATTGGTTCTATTGGATCCACTGGTTCTATTGGATCCACTGGTTCTATTGGATCCACTGGTTCTATTGGATCCCTTGGATCCACTGGTTCTATTGGTTCTACTGAATCCACTGGTTCTATTGGATCCACTGGTTCTACTGGTTCTATTGGTTCCACTGGTTCTATTGGTTCCACTGGTTCTACTGGTTCCAGTGGATCCACTGGTTCCAGTGGATCCACTGGTTCTATTGGATCCACTAGTTCCATTGGATCCACTGGTTCCATTGGTTCTACTGGTTCTACTGGTTCCAGTGGATCCACTGGTTCTATTGGATCCACTGGTTCTATTGGATCCACTAGTTCCATTGGATCCACTGGTTCCATTGGTTCTATTGGATCCACTTGTTCTATTGGTTCTACTGAATCCACTGGTTCTATTGGATCCCTTGGATCCACTGGTTCTATTGGATCCACTGGTTCCATTGGATCCACTGGTTCTACTGGTTCCATTGAATCCACTGGTTCCATTGGTTCCACTGGTTCTATTGGATCCACTGGTTCTATTGGATCCACTAGTTCCATTGGATCCACTGGTTCCATTGGTTCTACTGGTTCCACTGGTTCTATTGGATCCACTGGTTCCATTGGATCCACTGGTTCCACTGGTTCTATTGGTTCCAGTGGATCCACTGGTTCCATTGGATCCACTGGTTCTATTGGTTCTACTGGTTCCATTGGATCCACTGGTTCCATTGGATCCACTGGTTCTACTGGTTCCACTGGTTCCATTGAATCCACTGGTTCCATTGGATCCACTGGTTCCATTGGTTCTACTGGTTCCACTGGTTCTATTGGTTCCACTGGTTCTATTAGTTCTACTGGTTCCAGTGGATCCACTGGTTCCATTGGATCCACTGGTTCTATTGGATCCACTAGTTCCATTGGTTCTACTGGTTCCACTGGTTCTATTGGTTCCACTGGTTCTACTGGTTCCATTGGATCCACTGGTTCTATTGGTTCCACTGGTTCTATTGGTTCTACTGGTTCCATTGGATCCACTGGTTCTATTGGTTCCACTGGTTCTATTGGTTCTACTGGTTCCACTGGTTCTATTGGATCCACTGGTTCTATTGGTTCCACTGGTTCTATTGGTTCTACTGGTTCCATTGAATCCACTGGTTCTATTGGATCCACTGGTTCCATTGGATCCACTGGTTCTATTGGTTCTACTGAATCCACTGGTTCTACTGGTTCCATTGAATCCACTGGTTCTATTGGTTCCACTGGTTCTATTGGTTCCACTGGTTCTATTGGTTCCACTGGTTCCATTGGTTCTACTGGTTCCAGTGGATCCACTGGTTCCATTGGTTCCACTGGTTCAATTGAATCCACTGGTTCCATTGAATCCACTGGTTCCATTGGTTCTACTGGTTCCACTGGTTCTATTGGATCCACTGGTTCTATTGGATCCACTGGTTCTATTGGATCCACTGGTTCTATTGGTTCTACTGGTTCCAGTGGATCCACTGGTTCCATTGGATCCACTGGTTCTATTGGTTCCATTGGATCCACTGGTTTCACTGATTCAATTGTTTTTGTTGTTCTATTGGTTCTTTTTGTTGTACTGGTTCCCAGTACCAACTGTGTTGCTGCTCCTCCACCCCAGTTCGTTCTGCAGAGGTTAATGGAGACCAGGTTTATGTTTGTGTTTTTATTGAGTCTCTGCGCCGCCCCCTGGTGGCGGCTGGAGGAACGTCAGGCGCTGGCCGCTCACTGGAAGAGACAGGAAGAGGAAGTTAGACAGGAAGCAGCTGATGGAACCCAGCCGCCTGGAGCTCCAGGTTCTACCGGGCCCTCCTGGGTTCAGGGGAAGCTGATGAGGACGACAGGCCGATTACTTTAACAAGGATATTTGCTGCGTTCCAGTTGTAGTCAGAACTGGAAAAAAGATCAACTGGAGTCTGGCAAACGTCTCCCAGTTCCCACCTCCAACATGGCCGCCAGTGGGTTGCCAGTGGGCGTGGTGCAGTACCAGCACTGTCCAGGGAGAGGCGCTGCTGTTTGACTTTTACGATGTGCTTTGATTGTTATAACTGAATTCTGCTGAACGGATCACTTTAATGAACTGATTCAGTGACTCAAATGAACTATTGTTCCCATCGCTACCACGAGTGGCCCAAGCTCTGTTCCGGCAGAGCGCCTAGCAGCTGTGATGTCACTGTGATGTCACTACCTGCAGCTTGGCGGCCAGGTGTTCGGGCAGCTCCACCCCGGCAGCCTCCAGCAGCAGGATGGTGTCCGTCAGGTCGAAGGAGGTGGAGCCTCGGTCTTTGGGTTGGGTCTCCTGCTGGAGGCTGAACACAGAGAGGCGGGGGGGAGGGGAGGTCAGCTCCCACCAGAACCGATCAGAACCCACTCAGGGGACCTCACCTGTTGGTGGCCGACTCCAGCAGGAAGTCGGTGTACATGTCTTTCCAGTCCAGGATGATGGACAGCAGGGAGGTGATGAAGGGACGCATGTCCACCTGCAGCCAGCCCTGCAGCACCAAGCCCTCATCCAGGTGAGACACCTCTGAGCTGACGGTCAGCAGCACCTGGATCTGAAGGGGGCGGAGCCACAGAACCACAGCTGGCTCAGGTAAGACTCCAGACAGAACAACACTGACTGTTCAGGTGTGTTCAGGTGTACCACCTCTCTCTGGAAGTCCTTCAGGCTCGGCGGGTTCTCAGCCTCAACCTCTCCGACTGCCAGCGGCTTGCCGTAGTCCAGGAACTCCTGGAACACGGCCCGCTTGTCACTGAGCCACAGGTGAGCGTACCTGTTCAGCTCCGCCCTCAGCTTCTCCGCCTCCTCCTTCATCTGCAGCAACCTGGCCATCACTTCCTGTTCCAGAGCGCACAGCTCCGGGTTTTGCCGCAGGCTCTCCTGTAACACAGGTGAGGAGCGGAGTGACGGAGCCGCAGGTCGTGTCGGACGGACAGACGTCCGACTCACCTGGTAGTCACCGTGGCGACTGACAGAGATCCTGGGAACCAGAGCGCCGGCGCCGTAAACATCCCTGATGATGGTTTTCAGGAAGGCGGTGGGGCCGTCGTCGATCGACGGCTCAAACACGAGTCCTCTGGAGTCCCGCAGTTGCAGAGAGACGGCCAGCAGGGCGGCGCCACCACTCTGCAGAGAAAGATGAGCACCAGTACTTTTACAGAAGTCACCTCTAGGTGTGTGTGACCTGCAGGTGTGTGCACCTGTGTGTTCATGCTGTCGGTCAGGAAGCGCAGGGCTCTATGCAGCAGCTGCAGCAGGCCGTCTTGGACTCGGTCGTCGATGTAGTCCAGGTACCCGGTCCAGGCCTCAGAAGCCTCCTCAGCTCTGTACAGATCCCTGTTTACCTGAGAACAGGTGAGCCGTCCTCATCAGCGCCCGGCCCCCTTCTCTCCGTCCTGCCAGGTGTTCGGTCCTACCTGTGTCAGGGTGAGCAGCTGCTCCCCGTCTGCCTTGATGCCGCTGCAGGTGTGATCGTTGACGCTGCTCTGCAGCAGAGAATCATCTGAACGCAGCAGAAGGTCAAGCTCCGCCCACCCCTGAACAAACACAGCTCAGAGCAGAGGGGTGTGACTCAGCTCACCTGGGTGATGTTAGTCTGTTTAACTCACCTGTGTAATGCTTCTCATGGCGTCCATGTTGGCTCGAGCTTCTGTGATGCTTGAATGAACGGCCAACACCTGCTGGCTCTGCTGCTGCATACCTGGACACACACAGGGGTCATGGCACCGCCTGCCGCCGCAGCAGCACCGCCTGCCGCCGCCGCCGCCACTGCACCTTTATAGATCCACGTCTTGTTCTGCAGTTCACTCAGAGTGTCATTCAGCTGCTGCAGCTGCTTCTGGATCAGTGGAAGCTCCGCCTCCATGGCCCCGCCCACCACCTGAAAGAAGAACGAAGCGTCACATGACGCGTCTCCTCCTGTGTGCGCAGGAGGCGCAGCAGCAGGAACCTGGTTGTAGCAGGACACGGTCTGGTCCAGCAGGAGTAAGGTGTGTGTGATGTCGTCTCTGGCCAGCAGGAGGCGGTCTGCGTCGGGGCGCAGCGCCACGCCGCCCTCTCTGCTCACGTAGCGCAGCTGCTGCAGCACCACCTCCAGCTGCACAGGAGGAGACGGAGTCAGAGAACGTTCCTCAACTCAACAACACAAGAATGTTCTGGAGTTGTTGGCAGAGAAGCCAAAACCTGGGGGAACCGGAACCACTTTACAGCCCTGGACCCGCCACACATGGACAGGCTGCACACAACTCTGACGATCAGTGACTGACGTCTCGCTGTGTTCACACGCAGACAAAGGTTCAGATCTGGACCAAATCTAAGGCTGCAGATCAGAACCGACATCCAAAGGTTTGCACATGCAGCAGCTTCAAGTCGGGTCGGGATCAGGACCCGGCCCGGCAGACACAGACCTGGACCGGATCACAGTCTGAGCCTTTCTTCAGCGGTGGCCATGTTTTCTTTCTGATGAAATAAAGACATGGGGTCCGTTTACGGTCCGGACCAAATCCTCACCACGCTTTAGAGCAGATCGTTTTGG